TAATTGCATTGTAACAATACAAAAGCATGGGATCACGAAGGAGTTCCTTTTTTGCTTTTAAACTATTGTTGATTGCATATGCATTTAATGTTCTCATTGAATTGATCAATTCATGTTTCTATTTTTTGTAAAATACGGAAAAATACGTTTTATACGGGAATTAGGACTTTTTATCATTTTTAAACGGGCCGACATTATTTTTCGTTCTAAACGCGTTTTTTTGTTCAAAAAAACGGTACATGTTTAAAACGCAAAAAAAACTAACTAGGACATGCGTCGTCCTCAAAACAAAGGACACGCATCGTCCTCGACATAACGCACAAGGAACAGGACACGCGCATCATCCTCAATACGAGGCACATCTCTTGTCCATAGGAATGAGGGATCTGCGACGGCCCAGGAAGCAACAGCAAGCATCAGCCACCAGATGGCACCGCCTCGGCCAGGAGCGCCAGAGCTCCCAGGTAACCCTCCATCGGCCAAAAGCTTCAAGGCAACAAAGATGAAGGACAGAAGGCAGCCAAACAGTTATGGCACCGCCTCGGCCTCGAAATGAAGGACGTTCCTGACGATCGACCTCAGTGACGACGCAGACCACCACACTGACCGCCACGGTGGCACCCACCATTGTAACCCTAGTCATCGCTTCTTCTGATGGCCTCCCATCTCCCAGATCTGTTTTCATCCGCCCATATTTAGTAATCTAGCTGCCGCCCTGCTGATAGGGTTTTCAGATTTTTAAAACTTTATATATTCAATATTGGTGTGAAAGATAACAAAGCATATGAAATTTGGTATATTTCTTACTACTAACCACCTTACCTCTCTCCGCTTTCGTAACCAGGGTTTAACTTAATTCTAATTTAGTAAATAATTATTTTCACCATTAATTAGGCCATATTCTTATTCTTAAAATAAACTAAACCACTAATAATGCAATCTCGATAAAGAAACATATCATATGAATTTCAACAATCACGTCAATAATATTGATTTTATACAACTTTTAATGAATGAATATCATAATTTTAGTACGATATTATATACTCCCTTCATCCCATAAAATTCTTCCCACATCGTCTTGGCACGCATATTATGGAGGTGAGTGTAAAGCGGAAATGTATGATTTTAATTGCATAAGAAAAAAGTAAAATAAATGTGAACCACATAAATTGTCTAAAAATGATAAGTGAGAGATTTTTTTTGGGAAAACACAAAACAATTAAAAGAAGGGAAAATGGGCAAATAAGGTCACGTACTAACCAAAAAAGGTCACATTAGGCCTTATTTATGAGGCTCTGTTCGGTGTTCGCCATTTGGAATGGTTCTAGGTGGAATTTTTTGATAAAAGTTTTTGACCATCTTATTCATTAAGTCTATTTTACTCATACCAAATTTCAGCTAACAATTCAATGGGGAAGGAATTCAAATGAATTCTTGAAGATAACTGCGCTTTTAACTAAGTAGTTATCTTCAAGAATTCATTTGAATGCCTTCCCGATTGCCTTTTGAGCTAAAATTTGGTATGAGTAAACTAGACTTACTGAATAAGATGGTCAAAAAAATTCATCAAAAAATTCCACCAGGAACCACCCCAAATGGCGACGACCAGACATAGCCTCTTAAATAAAGCTTTATTTGAACTTTTTTGGTTAGTACGTGGCCTTATTTACCCCTTTTCTCTTAAAAGAACTTTATGACACAGAGGAGGATATAGGCACGTAGTTATTACTCGTAATGGGCTAACAAGAAAATTTGATGAAAAGATCCAGACGTGGAACTGGCATGTAAACATTATGATAATATCCGCGTCCTACTGGCAACTCATGTGGACCTTATGTTTATCTATCCACTACTCACTATTTAGTCTTATCCGTTTGGTGCTACGTACAGACTATTACTCTCCCGTCCCATAAAATTCTTCTCACTTTTCTTTTTGGACTGTCCTAAAAAATTCTTCTCACTTACTATTTTTGGACAATTTGTATGGTTCACATTCATTCAACCTTTTTCTTACACAACCACAAACATATGTTTCCACTTTCTTAATCACCGTGCCAAGTCAAAGTGGGAAGAATTTTACGGGACGGAGGTAGTACTATTAATATTACTCCCTACGTCCCGAATTGAATTGCAAACTTTGATCGGCACAAGGATTAAGGAATGACAATAAATTATGCTTGTTTTTTACATTTTGCCTATCTTTCTAAAAGTAGATGTCTTTGAGTTAATGGGAAAAAGTAAAAGTAAGGGTAAATTTGTCACTTTATTCTTATTTACATAACTAAAATAGAAGGTGAAAACCCATTTTGGGACAACCAAAATATGAAAATTTTCAAATCAAATTGGAATGGAGGGAGTATTATTAATTCTCCCCAAAATAATCTTGTACATCAATGGTCCATGTGACCCAAAACTAATTTAGTGTTAGAACAATGGATTTAGGTAGGACATATTACACATTGTTGGTTTGGTTGTCGGCCAATTACAAGTGTTATTCGTAGCAATCTTTTTCATGTAGAGACTTGGGCAGTGTTAGGGTTAGGCCGTTGTATCTTCTTTAGTTCCGAGAAGTTTTATATCTCGTTGAAAAGATCATTTTAAGTTCTAAAATTAGTGTACATGATGATTACCTAACGGTTACCCTAAGTATGTTTTATTTACGTTGAAAACGCCAATGATAATATAAAATAGGCTAGGTCAAATCCTACACATGTTCTGGTGGGCGCTGCAATGATTTTCAATTTTTGAACAATATGTACCTATTCTTTATTATTTTGTAAAAGATGTCAAACGATTTTAGAAGTCTCTCTTGAAAAACTTTATCCTATCCTAAATTAAGGTTTCAATTCGGTACCAAATGTATACGAAGTGTAATACATTCCCGCTCCACAATATTTTTTGGTACAGTTGAAGACGAATCTTCAGTATCATTCGATTCTAATTGTAAAATAATAGCGTTTCTCAGCTTTTGACATAAAAAGCTAAAATTAGTGTATTCAAGTGACAACTTCTATTTAAAAAAGCATTTCTCGGTTTTTGGCTGAGAGTTTGAACATTGTTTTATACTTTTTTTATTACACAAAAAGCACATATTTTACCAAACATTTACTTTTCAAAATTACTTTTTTTTTCAAACACTATCAACTTTTACTATTAATCACTTTTTTCTAAAATCACTTCAAAAAGTACTTTTTTAAAGCAAAAGCATTTGTAAACACTCTCTAAATGAAGGTGCTTTACTACTTATTTGATTGGTTCAAGACTTCAAGCCAATATCTCATTATTTATTACTCCCTCCATATCTATTTAATTGTCACACTTTCATTTTTCGGTGTATCAAATTAGTTGTATCTTTTCCCTTTTTGGAAAGAATCTCACTCAAAAAGCTGCTACAGTATCACCACAGTACCGCTACAGTACCAAAAACCTCTTACTTTTTATAAAGTATACAATAATTGTCTTAAACTCCGTGAAAAGCAAATGAGTCAACTAATTTGCGGTACTATTTGTCTAATAATAACAATAGAGCCGGCAAATTAAGGTGTCAAACCAGCCAACACCATAAATGATACCCCACCTTTTCATAAAATTCTTCTCACTTTGACTTGACACGAAGATTAAGAAAGTAGAATAAAGTGGAAATGTGTGCTTGTAGTTTTGTAAGAAAAATATGAAATAAATGTGAACCAGACAAATTGTCATAAAATAGTAAGTGGAATTTTTTTTTTGAACGGACCAAGAAGAAAAGTGAAAAGAATTTTTTGAGACGAGGAAGTACAAAATTCTTTTAGCACTATTCACGAGCATCGAGCACGGAAGTGCAGAAGTTACTTCCATCTTTGGATTGGTTTGGAGCTTTACGCTTGAAATCCACTGACACATGAGATGACAAATTCTTAAATATATAACGTACACGTAACCTCGACCAATAATTGAGAGCAATTTTACTCGTTATCAGACATTTGCAAAAAAAATAAAAAAGTATTTTAAAAATTGAAATGTGTTATTTTAAGTGATGGTTTATGTGCGAATTAAGTGTTAAAAAAGTTAAAAGCGAGAAGTAGATAGAAAAGTACTTTAAATTATTTTCACTTTTTTTGACAAACTCAAGTGTAACATCATCTATCTTTCATTCATAATTAGATGGAAAACCCCCCAAAAGTCATACTCCCTCCGTCTAGAGGTGCAAATGAGACGAGTCGCTCGTGACCTGCTCAGTCAAAGCTCGAATCTAGTTCGGTTAAACTCGAGGTCGAGCTGGCTCGTTAAGCAGTCGAGCCATAAACGAGCCTACTAATTTTAGGCTCGCTACCTCGTGAGCCTAGTTTTATATGTGTGTATATTTATATATTTAAATATATATAAATATAAATTAATACTCCACATATAATACTCCCTCCGTCCCTCAATACTTTGCCATGTTTGACCGGCACGGGAAATAATAAAGTAAAAACTGTGTGGTTGAGATATGTGCAGAGGAGAGAGAAATGACAGGAACCACAAATTCATTGATTAAAAGGGAAAGTGGCAAAGTTTTTGGGACATCCAAAAAAGGAAAGATGGCAAAGTTATAAGGGACGGAGGGAGTATATATTAGTATATATAATATATATAATATAAGGATCGGGGAGATATTATATTTTTCGTTCCCGTAACTCTAGTTTCTGTTAAATCATCATGGTTTGATAATTTATTATTTATTTTGGACAACATTTACTCTACTTTTAGTTCTGGGGCATGTAAATTTCAATTTGCAAATACTTAGGACAAATATTCAAAGATTGTTTCATACTTGAGTTCGAGTTCGAACCCGAACTTTCGAGCTAATCGAACTTGTAACATTTGAGTTGACGAACCAAAATTATCGAGCAATGTCAATATTTGCGAGTCGAGCTCGAGCTCAGATTTTTTAAACTCGTTCGAACCGAGCTCGAGCCAATACAATATATTTCGAGCTCGAGTCAATAGAGAAAAATGTGTAGTATTTAATAAATATTATACATTATAGTTTACTATGAACAAAGATTTCATTTAAGAGATACGAAAAAGCATCTCAAATGCGGAGTACTCCGAATTCTGAATGGCTTTTTCGGTCTTCGTCATCAACCAAAGAGGGCAGGGCCCATAAAAACAAAAACGGATGCCCCTTTCATCACCGAGCACTCTCTTCTCGTTTTCTCTCTTCTTCTCTATTGAAAGCTGAAACAAGTATTCTGTATTCTATATGATGATGCATCTTGGGAAATCTTGCAATAGTAACGGTAACTGTTGCAGTAGTTGTTGTAACGACTTATTCCCCTTCAGCGCGTTTTCCGCTTCAATTTCTTGCACCAGCAGTAAGAACAGCATCAACGATTTTAGTTGTAGCCTCGATTCATATCCAGCTTCCCTGTTCCCCCTTTCTTCTTTGTGCTCTCAGACTTCATCCTCCATCTCCATATATACTCTTCTCCCATTTACGGTTTCTATTCTCGTCAATTCTTACTCTTCATCAACTTCTTGAGCAAACAGACACCCTGTTGTTCTCCCAAGCCTTACAACTATTTTTCTTGTTAAAAAAATAATCAACATAGCATTACAGACTAATTCCATTTCTCTTCTCTCGATTTTCTGTAAAGATTGAAAGTTGTAGGCATTTTTGTTGCAAGAAAGATGTTTGTTTCACTGCCTGGGTTGATCCATCGGCCAGTTTTCACGGCTTCTCTGGGAAACTTCACCAGGTCTCAATCTCTCTCTTTCTCTCTACTTCTTCTTCTTGGCTTTTGATCAGCGCGGGAGCAAGAAAAACAGTATTACAGCGGTAAAGTTTGAAAAATATACTCCCTACCTGGGTGGAATATTCATATTTGAATATTTTTGTGAACAGATTAATAGTATTGGATACATGTATGATGTATACAAAATCCGGCGCCAGTCTCTCTCCTGCACACCCCTGATTTTAATTTCAAGAATCGTAATGAGGGGTTGCTGTTGTTCAGGGGATTATTTATTCTACTTGTGTTTTTTTAATGGTGTTAAGTAATGGGTTGGGTGAGCATATCTGTGGGTAATTCCAAATATCCCATTTATTCTTTACATTCCAGGTATGGCTATAATGGTCGTCTTGGTGGATTCTGCATTGGGAATGAAAATGGGAATGAGTTGAATAATAAACGAGCTGTTAAGATACCCAAGAACGGGAGATTGAATGTTTCCCCTCAGGCTACTGCCTCTGATCATGGTCAAACGCCAAATTCATCTACAGTGAAATGTTATCAGGAGGTTCTAAGCTCTACACCCCCATTTGATCATTCTGGCATTTTAAATGTCTTTCTCGTCAGTGATGGACTGATGTGTGATTATATTGCCAGATTTTAAGAGATGCTAGGCACAAGTTCACGCGGGAGATATCTTTCGAGTTGAAGGACACAGATATATTACTAGCAAAGGTATTCTGCCTTCTTAATCTTGTTTGCTGGTAGTTGACCAGTTCAGTATGATCACAAGTATTTCATGTATACAGAGCTGTTTAATTGTTTGTCTTGGATCTTTTCTATCTGGTTGTTTAATCTGTCCAATTAAATATTTTTGACAAGTTCAGTTTGATCATTAGTATTCCATGAGCAGCAAATCTGTTCACTCTTTCTTCTTTGTCTCTTTGGTTTCTGGTTATTTAATTTATCCAATGGAATCTTGAGTGTTTGATTATCTGCGAGTGAACTGTATGTCATATTCACCATTGTTTAATGATATGTAATTTGATCTTTGGGATTCCGGGGCAGAGCCCACTCTTGACAAGATGAAAAAAAATCTACTCTTATTTTACTTCAATTGTAAAAGGTTCACAAAAAGCCAAATGCTTTGAGAAAAACAAAATGCCTAGGTCTGTTTGGATGGAGGGTTTTTGAGGGGACAACTCTGAGAGTTTAGTGTATATTTTGATACATAGAGTGCTTCTAAAGTGAATTAGAGATGATCGAAATATTATACGTAGCATGATCATTTATTAGGTGAATCCTTCAAGTTTTTATAAAATCTAAAGTACGTGTAATTCATATAGACTTTACCTCCAGAAGCTTCCCCTTCAAAGTATTTTAACTAGTTTTTTATTTATATTTCATTACTAAGGAGTACTTGATCAGACTTGGATGGGTGAGACCCAGTAATCCACCTAGTGTAGTCAGTGTTGGGTTGATTTTATACCCAAAATCTTTCTTTATAATGCTTTTTGATGCAAATATGTAGGCTTTGCTTTATGTTGGAGCTGAAGATGAGTCATTAATAGCGTTCAACCGTGAGAAGGATGCTTTTTACCTCCGAACTGAAAGAAGAGCCTCTGCTAAGTCACCATCTGATGCTCGTCCGGCTTGGTCAAATGTGGATGGTATGCCACTAGCTGGAAAAACTATGGATGATTGGTTGCGGGAATTGGATGATATTGCAAGTGAGGTTGAGCTGGTTTCAAGAGAGATCGGACATGATTCAGTTGAGGTTATGGGTGCAGTGAACACTGTTCTTTTCAACATGAGAGGTTTCAGAAGGTCTAATGTATTGGCAGATTCAAAGTGCTCATACTTGCACTCGGCATTATGCTCTGGATCTTGTAGTGGTATGTTTTTATCCTTCCTGTCCTTTTATTATACAAGTATTTACTATGATTAGTTACATGGGAGTTTTCCTATGCTATTGCTAAAGTAGAGCTCATGGTTAAATATACTACATATAATTTAGTGCCTTAGTGGTCACTAGAGTCGCTAGACGTCACTATGATCAATGTGTATTAAAAGACACAATTTTGCCCTTTTTATTTTATTTTAGCCATAAATGTCATTTTTTCTTATTGCATATAGCTTCCCCGAGATTTGGTCAAATCACAAAATGACCCTCGGATTTTACGCAAAAATCAATTCTAACACTAATAAGAATATCTGGGATATATACTGTGGCTGAGGAAAATCTGACAAATCATTAATGGGCTACTTTGTAACATTCGAAAACCTTGATGGGTCATTTTGTAATCTGATCAGAGCTCCGTAGAGGTAAATGTAATTAACCCTATTTATTAATTGTTCAATTTGATGCTTCTGATGCATGATTACCTTGTGAACAGCAATTATGCTTAGTGTTATATACATTGAAGTATGCCGAAGACTCAATCTGAAAATTGTGGGATCTCGAGTTGGTGAAGATTTTTTAATATGGCCCCAAACAACAAACCCTGAGGTACATATATGCTTCTTTTGAGTTCAATTAGCAACTTCCCTGATATTGTTTTACCAGATTTTCTATGGTTGTCACTTTTAAGGAGCTATTCAAAACAACAGCCGGGCACAGCTTGTTTGGTATTCTCAATGGGAAGTGTGTGGAGGACCCTCGGTCAAAGGCCTCAGACATTAATAGTCATTCACTTTCAGGGCTTGAGATTGCAACAAACCGGGATATCATTGGGATTGCTTTGGCCAATTTGATTGTAAGCTTAAGGGTCCTGTTAGAACCTGGAAAATGCTAGAGAAGGGAATTTGGAGGATAATAGTAGGGAAATTTTGATGAAAATAAAAAATTGGTTACTACTCAATAAACCAATATTGAAGACTAATAAATATTAACACATGCTAGAGAAGGAAACTTGGAGGATAAACCAAATGTAGAAAAATTTGTTCTGTAGTAAATTTGTCTCTCCTTTCCCTCATTATCTGGATTCCAGAATCCAGACATAGCCTTAGTGTATGAACTTTGTTTCATGTGCTACTTTATTGAGTTTGTCTTTACTAAAAGGGGTGCATTATTGCAGAGGCTTCACTGGAAACGCGCTTCAAAAGCATACCATGGATTGATGCTGACTTCTCCACTTGAATTTATGTATAATGCTGAAAAAAGAAGAAGCAAGAGTGATGCCCCAAATTTCCCCGTGTTAAGGCCTCAGGATTTAAGGTACCATCTTTAAGCATAATCTCTTTGTCATGATTCTCTAGAATTGCTCCTCATTCCCTATTAAATAGGCCCCACTTTGTGTTGTCCCTTACAGGTTCAAGATGCTAAGTTGCAACATTGGCATGACAAAGGGAGAATTATGATTTCCGAAGCATAATTTTTTTTCTCACGGATTTAAAAAAGAAAAAAAGAAAAAAAGAAAACATGCATCACACTTTTACGTGATCTTGAATAAATAATTTGCCCTAACTTCTAACTTGTTTGGTTCTAACTTCTAATATTGAAACTAAACCTTTTCTCAATCTGTATGCTCTAGAACTATAAAATTTGAAACTTTAATCACATTCTTATATTTTATTAAAATAAATTATCTGAATTTGTATATTTTCGATGGGCTAATATACCCTTCACCAAACAACCACTAGCCCTCCCTCTCAATGTGGGAGGGGTGGCGTGAGGAATCAATATTTCATCCTCCCTGAAAGAGTCATGTTTGTAATACTAAGATCAGCATTCCAAACATAACTCTTTTTATTGGACAATGGAAGTACATTTCTTGCTTGCTTGTGAAATATGTAGTATAACATTTGAAGTTATATTTTTTGCACAAATCGGGTGGAAGTGTTTCACGTTTAGATTTAGTCATCTGGTTATAATGAATTACATGGCAATCATATGCGAATGTTTTAGTTCTCATAACTTCATATTTTCTTGCGCATGGAGCTTTTCCTGACTTGCAGACGATAATTATTTTGAATAAATTGTTTCTTTAGCCCTTCATCAATTATGCAGCATTGGCAATTTTAGTCCACCGTTTAACTTGTACTAAAAAACAACTTTCCTTGGTATATAATATGAAAGAATGAAACTGTGCGAGTTTGGCTTGCATTTGATGATGCCCAGAGAAATGTAGTAGTTTGGAAGTTGCTTTGCTTACAATGGCATTAATTTATAGGCTGGCAATGATGGCTTCAGAAAGATTGATGATTCTCCAGCCCCACAATTGGTCTCTGAGAAGAGACCACGCAATGATGTTGTATTATACGAGGTATGTTTTATTTTCAAATATACTATGTCAGAGAACGTTAACTTTTTTTGGAACAATTATACTCAATAACCTTAAATTCAGAACACATATAATATACGTTGTAGAGAACACATAAACCTCTCAACTACTTGAACATAAATTCATATTTTTCCGACTTTACCATTTTTTTGTTTAATGGTTACAAAAGAAATTGAGATTCTTTTTTTCTTTGACATATAGATCAGGGGCCTTTTTTATACTACGTATATCATTTGTCCATTGTTAAAATTTCTGAACGTTGAAAAATGACTGGGAAAAATTTCTGAACAAGTCTGGGATTGTTCAGGGAATATGATGCGGCCATCCGGGAGCTTAGCATTTGCATGATATTTGCCCCAGAAGAGGAGGTCGAAGCTCTGATGCCATTCATCCAAAAGTTGCACCTTTTGGAGGCTGAATCATCCTGGAATTCGTTGGGGCATAAGTGGTTGACCATTCCTTGACTTAATCAACTGAATTGCAACTGAATATTCCTTCTTGACTTCTTGGCGTGCTTGTTAAGAATATATTGATACTTGGTTGGCCTTAACCCTGGTCTAGCCGGCAACTGTAAATTTGTTTTGCTGTTAAAAAGCTATATTATGCTTTCTTCGTTAGAGTTTAATTGGAGAACAAAGATCTTGTTGAACTTTCCTAGAAAGTTAAATCACGCACTGGCTGTACTGCTCCTTGCCTATGTTTCTTTCTTTCCTTCTTTTTTGTTCTTAATTGTGAATACATGTATATAAAGAGCCCTGCTTCTTTTTTCTTTGCTTTTGTATTATTTAAAAAGTCTTTAAAAGCTTCTAGGTGTATGTTTGGCACGCCAACTTTTAAGAGTTTTTATAAAAATAAAAGATCTTTTTTAAGATGCTACAGTGGGTAGCATCTAAGATAAGTCTTTAGCTTCTAGTATTAATTAGTCATAACAGCTTGTATACCAAACAATGCTAAATCAAACGGTTAGTTTTTATCAAACAGCTACTGTTTTTTCTTTTTAAGATCTTTTCAGTCACTAAAAGCTAACAGTTATTAAAAAACTCAAGAAAGTATCTTTTCAGTTAGTTGTGCCAGACATACCCTTATTAATGAAATTTGTCAAAAAATTGCCTTTTATGACAACTTTATCCTATCATAATAAATATATATAGAGAGAGGATGGTTCAAATACAAATAAGACTCGTGCAAAGTGATAATGTATCTTGTGCACTCATTTTCACATCCAATGGCTTAAAATGAGCAAAAAACACTGAATTTGATAAAAAACGTTGTGGTAATTTCGTAAATAAACCCAAGTTTTTTGCCACTGCGAAAAAGTGCAACAAAAGCATGCAAAAGTGCAACGCGGTGAGGAAAAAGTGGAACCTTTCGCACTTTCCTATATATATATATATATATATATATATATATATATATATATATATGTATGTGTGTGTGTGTGTATGTATATATATATATATATATAGAGAGAGAGATGAGTGATCCTGTGCAGCAGGATGGACAGGATCCACCGTCCGAATGACGCCGTTTGGAATATCATCAAAATAGCTAATATGGTTTGATAGTAACACACATTATTTAGCTAATGTATGAACAACATGGTTCGCATACCTTCTATGATAAGAGAGACTAAATTCCCTTTTAATTTTCAACAACCTCAGAATATCTTCAAATATCAGGTCAATATGCGACCCACCATGCAATCCTCGCAATACTGCGTCTCTAACTTCAAGTGCTTCCTACTCAACCACTGTTCTATATATTGACCTAGTCGGATCGATTAATCAGCCTAACAGGCCTGGTCGGCCCTAACTGTAGAGGACTAATCATCCTAGTCGGCCAAAAAATCAGCCTAGTCGGCCAAATATCAGTCTAGTCGACCACTTAGGGGTTAGGCGCCCCTCAACCGTCTGACTAACGTCTAGCGAGTTTTAGAACAATAAACTCAACTGGACTCCACCTATCGCTCTGAGATCTACTCGCTGCCTTTATGAAAGACCCTTGATTCGTACGGGCCATCCAACTCCAAGCTTGAATCCCACTCACCTCATTAACTGCAGCGTCAATGTTAACTTTATCGCCTCCATTCTAGGTTTTTGCCACCTTTTCACCCTCATACAACCTCTTTTATCTCCACCCCGTTTTTTCTTTTGAACCGCTTCCCAACAGGGCCGTTTTTTAAGGGGTTCAATAGGTTATCCAGAACAGGGCCCCCAAATTTACGGGGCCCCAAAATTTCAAAATTGTATTGGTATTATATAATACTCCGTAATATTATACTAAATATATTAATACTGATCAGTAAAACACAGTTAGTGAGGAAGAAAAATATAGATTCATCATTTTTTTCGTTGGTCGTTCTAGTTTTCTTTACTCAAATTGCTTGAATAATGAGTTGTGTTGCTTTAAATCAAATATTAATTCAATTTTAGAAATTTTTTATTACATTATTTAATGAGTATTCAATTAATTTAAGTATATGTATTTGGATTGAAATTTTTTTGATACTTTTTTATATTAATGTGGGACCTCGATTTTAGATTTGAAACCGGGGCTTCCGAATTCATTAGACAACTCTGCTTCCCAAACCCCAATCATACTATCTTCACACCTCATTAACGGATTGGACGCTGAACTTTCATAAACCAAATGAGCCTATTGTTTAAGAAGTGATTATTACGTCAAATTGTTCACATGTATGTGTATATTAAATACGTAGTACGAAGTATAATTTACTACCATCTTCATTTTTTTTAATTTTCAACATATTCCTTTGGACCTCACTTTCATTAATAGTAAGTTTCCCTTACTTTTTAATCATATTTTCATACTTTTTCATTTTTTCTTTTATAATATTTCATTTACTTTTGTTATTTTACGGTCTTTTTTACTTGTTCGTTACTTCCTACATTTCCCCCCTCCACAAAAAGCCTATAGTTGCAAATAAAAAATATGATGGGATATTATTTAATTTTTTATATACATTGATTTGAAAGAGATAAATTTCTCACTAGAATTATTAAAGTTTTGATCATTTAAAAGAAAAAGGCGGATTTTTATAATAAAGAAACACCTTAAACTGTGAAGTTCATGAATAATCGTTAAAAGCATATAAACTTTGTCTGAGTAATAAAAATGTTTTCAATTGGTCTAAAATTTTCTGGTGTGATCCCATTTATTTAAGTTTGTCTTGTCTAGATTGGTTTGATATGATTTGTCAGGTGTCTTGTCCATGTATATTTTAAGGAAAAGGGGCAAATAAGGCCACGTACTAACAAAAAAAGGTCAAATAAGGCCTTATTTATGAGGCTCTGTCTGGCCTTCGCCATTTGGGTTGGTTCTCGATGGAATTTTTTGATGAATTGTTTTGAGCATCTTATTCAGTAAGTCTAGTTTACTCATACCAAATTTAAGCTAAAAATTCAATCGGGAAGCCATTCAAATGAATTCTTTAAGATAATTGCGCAGTTAAAAGCGCAGTTATCTTCAAGAATTCATTTGAATGTCTTCTCGATTAAATTTTTATCTGAAATTTGGTATGAGTAAACTAGACCTAATGAATAATATGGTAAAAAAAAATCATCAAAAAATTCCACCGAGAACCACCCAAAATGGTGAAGGCCGGACAGAGCATCATAAATAAGGTCTTATTTGACCTTTTTTGGTTAGTGCGTGGCCTTATTTGCCTCTTTTCCCTATATTTTATGATTTTTAAAGTGTAGTCTTGTTTAAGAGTGAAACACTGTGTGGAACTTTAATTTGTGCGAGTGAAAGTTAGAACGAGTGATAAAGCAAGGAACTTGGTGCTACCAAACATGTCGATTTATTAGTTAAAAATTGATTAGTGAGAAAAGAGGAAGAAAGGTTGCAACTAAAATAGGGGCTGCCATTTTATAAAGTACCACCTTCTCCCTTTCCTTTTCGATTTCCACAGCTTTCCACGAGTTTTGCTTGTTCTTGAAGCTCTAGGATATGGGCTGCGCTTCCGCAGCCTTTTATGTCCACGTTTACCATCCACCGATAAACCCCGCCTCTTCCGCTGCCGACATTGCCGCGAATATCCTTCCCGCCAATTTGAACCGTTTACACTGGCCCAGGAAAACGTACTTTCCCTCCTCGTTTATCAGGAGACCCGGCCACACACTTCTTCGACCTTTCGCCGTCTCCAGTAATAGCTCCGGTGGAAATAACAACAACAGCGGTGGTGGAAATGGCGGTGGAAGCGGCGGCGATTGGTGGAATGATTTCTTCAATTTTGATAAGTCGCGTTTCTTTCTCCTCCCGTTTTGTTGCGTTTTCACGAATGAAAATGATGCTTTTGCGTCTATCACTTCATGTAAGCCCCTATTACTATTACTGGTTTCAGTATCGTCTTCCATCACCTGCTGCTTGATATTAGCTTCACTGGTACAAGCTAAGACTAACGCTAACGAGAATGACACAGAGATTTTGTATGAAATTCGAGGCGGAAGGCGGGTTAAGCTAGTGGCTGATCACTCCAAAGATGAATTCGTTGATCCAAAACAAGCATTTCCTTGGTGTCTAATGGACTCGAAATCAAAATCTACATCTTTCAGGAATATAACAACTAATCTGTGGATGCAATGTAGGAACATAAGCATGAATTTGATGTTGCCAGAGGGGTTTCCTGACAGTGTCACCAGTGATTACTTGGAATACTCTCTTTGGAGAGGGGTCCAAGGTGTTGCAGCTCAAATTAGCGGCGTTTTGGCCACTCAGGTACCCTTGCTTCTATTAACAAAGGCGTTCACTTTTTAAATTTAAGATGCAGAAAAGACATGGTTTATTTTCTCAGCCATTTAGGTTTTGGAAATTATTCGTTTTGAGATGTTATGGTTATGTATTTTTTTGGTATGATAGGCTTTGCTTTATGCTGTTGGGTTGGGGAAAGGAGCCATCCCAACTGCCGCTGCTGTGAATTGGGTGCTCAAGGACGGTATTGGATATCTCAGCAAGATTTTGTTGTCAAACTATGGAAGAAATTTTGATGTCAATCCAAAAGGTTGGAGGCTGTTTGCAGACCTCTTGGAGAATGCTGCTTTTGGATTGGAGATTCTGACTCCGGCATTCCCACATCTGTTTGTGCCAATTGGTGCTGTTGCTGGAGCAGGGCGATCAGCTGCTGCCCTTATACAGGTAACTTCTAGAACCCAGTAGGCAGTAGCTTAATTAAGTGACAATCTTTGTCTCAAAACTATTCAGAAGTCTTGGGTCTGCGAATCTCCATGGCATAGAACAACTTGGGTACTTAGAAAGTTCTGCCCTATGGCTTATTTTTGCTTTTAGAGAACACCTCACTAAAACGTAGAGATGCAATCACGTGAACTTTTGAAAATATATTTTGTGATTAAGTTACACAAAGAACAAATCCAGCGGGTAAATGCTACTATCTCCATCCTACAAAAAGTCAAATTTGACCAACGTAAAACTTTCTAATTTTGGGAAAGTACATGAACCATACTTATATTTTTAAAATTTATTTGTTGGGTTACCTAAACATATCACGTGTAAGTGTGTAACTTGTTTTGTTTGGGACTCTTATTGGCTCTTTTTATCAAATGACATGAAAAATAGCTCCATGTGCTCAAAGTGTAGTTTTTTGGACAAAAGAAGTGTTTGAAACATTTTTTTGGAAGGTCGAGTATTTACCAATATGATGGTGGATTGGTGGTAAAGTAAATAAGTAATGTACAGTTACACTGCCAAAACCCTATTTTAAGTGATACTCATGATTCATGAAATGCATTAGATTTAATGTATTCCCAGTATAAGTAAATTCCCATACATAATTACATATACATCCCACTGAATTAGGATTGCCACTGGAGCAGTGCAAGTTCTGTTTGTTAATGAACTTAGCTCTTTCTATGTGACAGGCTGCCACAAGGAGTTGTTTCTATGCCGGCTTTGCAGCTCAGAGGAACTTTGCTGAGGTGATTCCTTCTGGTTTTAATACCTCCTGTCCTTCATATAACTCACCATTTATAAGGTATCTGTGGTCCTTATATTTAAGGCATTTTACCATTCCAAATAAGCTTTTAATATTTTATTTCACTATTTGTCCTTATTAAGCAATTTTAGTTGGTGCATGGGAGGAACTTTTGATAAATGGGAATGGGAAGGAATGATATATTATGTCGAATGTACTCCAGTATGGGTTATATTTCCCACTTTTGGACATTGAGGCATACCCCTCCCAAATAGAGGCACAAAACCCATTCTTCCTTCCTTTCAAAGCCATTCTCGTTCTCATAGCAAACCATATGCTCTTGCTATATTTAGGCCTGGGTTGTTCATTAATGAGGAAATGATGATTAGTGCTATGGGTAGTTTTATCATAGGTGACTTATATTAAGAACAAGAGAGAGTCTCTCCTATTGTGATTCACTGATTCCTCTGGTGTACAAAATCCGTCATTCCGTCTAATAATTATACCTGGGCTCATTATATTCTCAGTTTTTCTTGTTTAGAGACATATTTAGGGTAGTTGCATGAACATTTCCTTTCTAATGTTTCCTTGATGACTTGATGCCAGGTAATTGCCAAGGGAGAAGCACAGGGCATGGTGAGCAAAGGCATTGGAATTATGCTCGGAATAGCAATTGCTAACTATACACGCTCTTCCACACCTCTTGCACTTACCTCTTTTGGTGTGATTACTTGGATTCATATGTTCTGTAACCTAAAATCATATCAAGCCATTCAGCTAAGGACTTTAAATCCTTACCGTGCAAGTACAATTATTTCCTTCTCTTTCTTTTCACCTTTTGCTTGAGACTTAATATCCAATTTGGTCTCTTCACTATAAACATTACCTCTTTTGGTCTCTGACTTTAGTTTGGACTCGCTTTAGTTCTCGATGATGACTCAATTTAGTCTTCATGCATATTTCACACTTTTAAAGAGGGTTATATATGTATGTTGAGGACTAAAATTGAGTCCATTATTCCATATTACATGGTTCAGAACCAAATTGAATCGGAAACTGGGTGTCTGGGTCTAAATTTAGTGATCATAGACTTCATCTTTAGAATGAAATATGTATGAAAACAAAATTGGGTTCTAGTTTCATAGTCGAGGATGGCGAGGACCTTATTTACTTTATGTTGTATTGCAGGTTTACTTTTCAGTGAATACCTACTTAGTGGCTTGGTTCCTTCAATTAAGGAGATAAACAGCGAAGAGCCACTTTTTCCTGCTCTTCAAGTTTTACATTTGAAGTCAGCATACGAAGTAAATTACAGATTTATTTATTCATTTATTTTTTGATTGGTCGGTCACTCAGTTGGTTGTTTGAACCCAGCTGGCCAGCTGCACCGGCCTTTGCCTTATTATTTGCATTGTCCTTGTTGGTTACGTTATACATGGAGCATTTTATTTCATAGAGATGTTTGATGTCAATTTTCTTATTGTAGTTTTGTTGATTTTACTTTAAGGTGCAAAATGAGGTTCTTTCCACAGAGGCTAAGTTTGCTGCTGCTCACGTAGTGGGCAGGTTACAGCTGGGTTCTAAATTATCAGACGTTGCTAGAAGCAAGGAAGATGTTCTCGCTCTGCTTGACCTCTTCAAAAATGAACAGTATATACTGGCAGAACATCAAGGCAGATACTGTGTAAGAAAACTTCATCCTTTTGATTATTTCATCTATTTTCTTTTTTATTCTTCTAGGCTATGTTTGGATCATTCGAAATACTAGGAAATAGAAAAAATTTGCTACAAAAAGTCATCCTCTCATGTTTGGATTTGCATTGGAAAATGCGAAGGAAAACAATAAATTCATTAGTTTTTAAAAATTTCACATATATAATTTCTTAGTCGTTAATTCCTTAAATACTCCCTCTTTTAAAAAAGAAGTTACGTTTGAGTAAAGTTCAACCTTTTATTTTTAATCAATTCAATCAACAAGATATTACCATTATTAATGATCACTTGTACCCCTAAAACTTATTTCCTAGATTGATGGGGCTAATTGACGAAGACTGCTTGCTGCTTGGCGTAACAAGAATTTTACTTGAACCTCTTTTAAAGCGTACTATTTCTTTGGAATAAAAAAAGTTCTTCGTTTGGGATTGAGGGAGTAATAGACATAATATAATGGATACCAAGTAGCAACAAATATCTAAAATAAAATCATTGAGTTTTAGTCTGTCTATGTTTTGTCTCCCCCACATTTTATTTCCTTCTTTTCTCTATGTTTTCCTTCCAATTTTCTTTCCCCAGAACTTTAAGGATTCCAAACGGTTCTCTATTGACAGCTTTATAAACTCACCACATATGCATTCATGACTTTTTAGCTTTGTGTAAATTAATCCTGGGCATTGAACAGGTTGTGCTCAAAGAGAACTCTTCACAACAAGATATGCTGAAATCATTATTTCATGTCAACTACCTCTACTGGTTGGAGAGAAATGCGGGAATTCTATCAAATGGGGTGTGCAGTGACTGTAGCCCAGGGGGTAGACTCGAAATATCTTTACAATACATTGAGAGGGAATTTGAGCATGTCAAGAATGATAGCGAAGTTGTAGGTTGGGCGGTTGATGGTCTTATTGCTAGACCTTTGCCCAACAGAATCCGCCCAGGTTATCCGACTGCCTCTCCTGTTGTGTCCGGTTGATTGGTTTGCAACTTTGCAAGAGGCTGTTCTCTTGTCTCATTTGATTGCTGGCTTCAATTCATCAAGGTTCTGTTCAAGTTGAAAGATGGTAAATTCCATAATCCTATTTGGTTCTGAGTAAGAGTTCTAACCAATTCTGGAGAGAAGGCAACTTTGCATAAGACTAGTTTTCATAGTAATGTACTAGAGTATATAACATATATGCTAATGGCTGTTCATTGCATCATTTAACCGTGTCCTTCAATTTTTTGATGCTGGTTTGATCTCAATTTTAACCTTTGCAGTGATAATGACTAGTACATGATGTAGTCTTTAAGATATATATTTTGTATAAGATTGGTTGAATGTACTGGTTCTTTAAACATCAGATGAGCTGTATGATTGGGTTAAGTTTGGGGGTTATGAGTCCGGTTCAAGGCAAGTTTTAAGGTTTGGTTTCAGATGTATAAATATAACCATATAATGATTCAGAGCCTTGGGGTTTTCTGCTAAGACAGTATGACAGGGATCGACAATACTGGTTTTCTTATGGTCCCAGTAAAGGGACAAGTGTAATTTGGTAATTCGAAAATACTAAAGACAGGTGGAGTAAACTAGGGGTGGACTGGGACGGGTCAGCCTGGGACATGTCCCGGCCCGGTACTGTTCAGGCCCGACCTAGTGAGCCAGGACGACCTGGTCCCGAACCGGGGGATTCAAGTAGGCCTGTCAATGGGTCGGGATTAGACCCGAACCCGACCCGGACCCGGTTGTTTTTAATGGGTACGGGTCTATATTTTATTCCGTTTACCCGGACCCGAATCCGGACCCGTTAGTATTTTAAATAAACGGGTCGGGTATGGTACATATGATTCCGACCCATTAAGGACCCGGACTCGTTTAAAATTTCTTATTTGTATACACATACACTCAAAGTCTCAAACATAAAGTGATTAGTTATAACACTTTAAATAAAATAGAAACTAATATACATATATATATATACATAATAATACATAAAGTTATTAGGTGTGAATTTGTGATTATTCAATAAAAATATACACATTAATACATAAATACTATATAAGTGATATTGATCAAGATAGTAACATACCCTAAAACTAATATTTATTACTATTATTATTAATATTATTATATCATTATCATATATAATACTATATATGATTTTATATTCTTAGTAGTCCAAGTGACCTTTTTATGACTTACAATCTAGTTTATTCTATGAGTTTTTTGTGCGAGAGGAAGCGGCGCAAAGTGTGGAGTTATATGCCTATACAAGAACTGATACTTTATTAGATAAAAGTACTAATTTTCTATGAGAGACCTTGATTTTTTTTGAAAAGTGAAGATATATTTTTGTTTTTAAATTTGTACACTTTGTTGTATACTATCTATTTCACATACATGTCTTGATATTTCCACAAAGTTTATAATGGTGTGCGTATCATACTTGGCGGGCGGGTCTACCCAACCCGATTCCGAGACCCGTTGGATCTGGGCCTGGGTCCAAATTTTTAGACCCGTCGGGTAAACGGGTCGGGTCCAGGTCCATTATTAACTTAACGGGTCCGGGTCTGGAACACTACGTTCCGACCCGAACCCGACCCATTGACAGACCTATATTCAAGCGGCGGGCTATGGGATCAAAAAATGGTGGACCGGCCTGGCCGGGCCCGGGCCCGGCCCAACAGCCACATTTTAAAAAAAAAAAGGTTTAAATTGGGTTTGGTGCCATAGACGGGCTCCTAGCCGTCACCAACAGCTATAGATCTGTTGGGGGTAAAGATTTTATAAATAAACCTATTTTCTAAACATTTTCCTACACCTATTTTCCAATTCGTCCTACCCTCTAATCATATTTATCTTCTCCAATTTTCTCTACACTTATTATCTACTTATAAACACATACATTAATACATATATCCTATTAGTTACACTTTCATTAATATTAGTTAAATTTATGCTATTACTTACACATTCACACTCCCATTAATTATTATTATACATTCATACATTTCTCCTATTAGTTACATTTTGCATTAATATTAGTCGACTTTCTCATTTTATCATCTTTAATATTTGTTACATTCTTATTTGTTATAAATTTGTTATAAATTATTATTAATCATATTAAAGTTGTTATATTAAACTATTAAAGTAGTTACGTTTTTAGTTAATTTTACTATACTTGTCAAATTATCATATTAATTAACCATAATTGTTACATACTAATATTAATCATATAAAAATTGTTAGATTAAAATATTAAAGTAGTTGCATTTTAGTTAATTTTGCTATACTTGTTACATTATCATATTCATTAACCATAAAAATTGCATATTAATATTAACCATATAAAAGTTGTTAGCTTAAAATATTAAAGTAGTTGCATTTTAGTTAAGTTTACCGTACTTGTTATATTAAACTATTAAAGAAGTTAGATTTTATTTGTACTCACGATTCAATATTTTATAGAATTTGTTCACACTGATAAATTTTATCGAAGTGTTTGAATTTGTACTTTTTTGTCTGTGCGAGGAATAAATAAATACAAAATGTTTAGTATACATGAGTTGTACACAAAGTGAAACACTATAAAAGCAAAAACAAAATCTCATTTCCCCATCCCCTTCTCTCTCCTTTCTCTCTACCCTCTTCACCTAGCCCCTTCTTAAATTCCAAAAAAATGGATGATCTTCTTCTCTTCTTCATCTTCCTCTTCCCTTCTCCATCCCTTTTTTCTCTACATTTTTATATTAATTTTTTTCATTAGTTGCACAAAATCAGTTTATTCATGTTATTTCATTTTTTTTGAAATTGCATGTAAATTGATCACACATACAACTATATCATTCATTTGAATGTATATAGACAATTGAATTTTTTGTTCACTCAGATAATTAAAATTGATCACAAAGATAACTAAAGTAGATCACACAGACAATTATTGTCTATGTGGTAAATATTGTCTGTGCGCACAAGAAATTAATTGCCTATGCACAGGTAAATGTTAGTTTTGTCCGTGCACACAATACTACACACATATAGATGGATTTAATGTTAGTTTTGTCCTGTAATTTTTTATGCGAAAATTAAGTTTGTTGGACACAGACAAATGTTAAACAGTGTAATGACTATGAGCACTTCGACCGAAATAGCTCAATGCCAGTCAAAATCGCAATTTATATCGTGAGATCGGTCTACCACACGCACGGTGTGCCGATCCCAAACGACGTCGCTTTATTGATTAAAAATAAGTGCATCGATAGATCGCAGTTGCCAGAGTACCGACATAGGCATCTCCATCGCCGGAACAATAAATTTTTTCCCATCTCCAACCACCTACGGGCAGCAGTACATATAAGGTTTCTTCTTCTCCTTCTCCTCCTCCACTTCCTCCTTCTCCTTTCTTCTTTCTTTGTTAATGAACGAATGAAATTTTGAAATTTAAACCTCTCAAGGAAGGGAGGATTTATGCATAACCCTTTTAATTTTTTAAAATTGAAAACAAATTCTTTTGATTTGATTTAACATCTATAGGGATGCGTATTATTCAAATTCAGATTAATCTGAATTTTTCCATTCTTTTGGATGTTGATTTCATGAGTTATATCTACTTGTTCCCAAGTTACATTTGAATAGGCTAAAGTTACATTTCACAAGTTACATTTGACTTGTTCTCAAGTTACATTTGAATCAAAGCAGTTTACTTTTCAATGAGTTACATTTAAATGAGTGTAGTTTATATTAGAAAAAAGAGGCAAATAAGCACTCGAACTATTTATTGTTCTGCAATCAGGCTCCTGAACCAAAAGACTTGCAAATACACCCCTCAACTCATTGAAAATTAAGCAATTAGATCTTTTTCTACCTGCAGGTGCACGTAAGGAGACGAGAAATTACCGGCACCCGCAGGTAAAAAGGATTTGATTGCTTAATTTTCAATGAGTTGAATGGTGTATCTGCAAGTCTTACGGTTCATGGGCTTGATTGCAAAATCGCAAATAGTTTGAGTGTTTATTTGCCCCTTTTCTCTTTATATTTTGATCAGTGTGAAGTGCTCACCCTAAACAGCTACCGGTCAAAATAGCTAGCAGAGAAAGCTGTCTTCGTTTCAATAACTTCAAAGGCGTAGCCGCTAGTGGCGGACCCACTAAGGGACCCCACAGACCAAAAAAATACATATATATTATGTATTTTTTATATAAAAATTAACCAATACGTACGTGTATATATATACAATAAAAAGTAGTTTGTGATAAAGAATGGAGTGGTTGAATGGCAATGCACGTTAGTTGAAAGCTCCCTCGGTCGCGAATGAATCTCTTAACTTCTCACTCACTAGTGGGTTTAAGAGCCCTTTTGGTAGCTTGAAAATCGGTTGATTTGGCTGATCCTGCTGAAATTTATGAAGTTCTGGCTGAAGTGGCTGTATTGGCTGATTCTGTTGATTTAAGAAAAAAATATTTTCAAAATATATTTTATTAATAAAATAAGGAAAAATTATATGTAAAAATAGCTAAAATGATCATCTACAGTAGCTTCAGCCAATACAGCCAGAAAAGTAACTCCGACCTTACTTTTTTTGCTTATTACACAATTCAGTGCGCAAAAGTAAAAATTACGTGTTTGGTGAAAAAGTTGGCTGATAAGCCTGATAAGCCAAAAACCAGTGCTGCCAAACGACCTTTAAAACTCTAATTTTTTTAACCTATTATTAAGTTAGTACACGGCTATGGAAAACTCAATTTTACTAAAATAAATAATTTTTGTATTAGTTAATTAATTGTTTGTAAAATATAATTTACCCCGTTTGAAAAGTTAACAATCCTATTTATTATTGTTTCTGTTCTTAAATAATTCCAAATCTTGAATTCTACGATATTCAAACACTCTATTTTGACTATATTTTATTTATTAATGTATTAGAAATTTAATATTTTTTAGAAAAATTATTAAACAATTCCATTATAAATTTTAAAAATCTGAACTTTTAACTATTTTTTGGATGAATTATTAATTTTTTGATTAATAAGATTAGATTATTAAATTTATGATATTTATGAATATTTTTTCAATATTTTAGAATTTAGGATTAAAAGATATTTCGACAGTCTACCTAGATTTAAAGAAGTTCAGAGTATCGGAAAAGGCTCGGATATTAATTCAAATGATTTGACATTATTAAATGAAGAATTAGATAAAAAATGGAAGCTGATTGTGAAATTAATTTGATTGATGATCTTTATGATCAAAATGTTTATTTTGAGTCTTTGAAAGCTGATTCTGGATTACAATTTTTTTGTGCTTATTTTCATCCTAATGTTTAAGGCGAGGTGCGCCGTAGCTACCTTCAAAAGGGGCCATTTCAATTTCGGGGCGTACGCTAACTATAAAACAATATGCTACTTTAATATTTTACGGGAGCGTATATCAGCCGACTGTGCGCCTGGCACCGTACAACCGGTGACATATTTGTAATTTTGGTGAAAATCATGGTTTCTTTGAGATGAGCATTCATGCAATTCTGATGAGCATCGAGTCTGTTCTTTTGAGTATTAGAAGTCTAACAATGAGCACCAGCGACATCTGCTTCATATCTTCTAATTCAATTTCTTTTTATTATCTTTTCGTTTATAAAAAATTCTTAAATTATGTTTATAATCAATTTCAATATGTGAATTTAATGTAGTATTATACGTTTGAAATGTGAAACATTTTAAAATGAGCATAAAGCAGTATCATATGAGCATACATAACTTACAAAATGAGTATCAAATAATTCAAATGCTCATTTGTGTAAGCTCATTCATTTTGGATGTTATACTCATTTGAGTTTAACATAAAACTCATTTCCAATGTGCTTAATATTAATTTGTGTGAGTTCATTTCTTTTAGGCGTATACTCATTTGAGTTTAATATAAAACTCATTTGAGATCAGTTGTAGCACAGATTTCTCAGCAATGAATTACTCCCTTTGTCTCCCAAAATCACAAGCTCAAATAGCAAAACTGCGTCAGAAAAAGAGAAAAAGAAAAAGAGTGGAAAGAAAGACAGAGAGGGAGAAGTAACTACACCGGAGCCGAAGCCGCTACGTTTGTGCCAGAAGAGAAGGGGGGAGTGGTGAGAGGCGGCGACGAGCAACGTGCTCAAGGAGAAGGGGATGAACGTTGGCGACAGTGAACCTGGTGCGAAGTCAAATCGAAGAAACAAGCAAAATCGGAGAAATCTGGTGTAGAGCTTTGTGGGAAGCCAGAGCGTAGAAGCCTGGTGCGAAGGCCATGTTGAAGAAGCACATAAGTGTAATAAAGTTCGTCCGCACGGTACAGCCGGATGTATGATGTATTTTACCAATATTTTACTCATGTAATATACTAGTACCTAGTAATCTAGTATTCCCTCCGTCCCGGTCATTTCTTTCAATTTTCCTTTTTGGGCCGTCCCAATTAATTTTTCCAACTTTCACTTTTGGAAATAATATGTGATTCACATTCATTCAATTTTTTCTTACACAAATACAACAATACATTTTCACTTTATTCCCACTACTTAAATTTGCGATATCGGTCAAAACCCGAAGAAATGATCTGGAAGGAGGGAGTATGAATTAGAGTTAATTCTGATTTTCTGTGGCCGCCATTTTAGAGTTTTCTGAAGATTCTCCGCCGTCAATGGAGGAAGCAATCCGGAACCTGTGGGAAGAAGTGAGGGATCTGAGCCTAGGAACAACCTCTCAAATTGATCACCTCCCCTCTCCCCCTACCCCTCTTCAATTTCTCCGCGACTACGTTTCCCCCAATAAACCTTGCCTCATATCCAACGCCGTCAACCACTGGCCCGCCACCGCTCTCTGGCACTCCACCCGTTACCTCCTCGACTCCCTCTCTTCCTCCACTGTCTCCCTCCACCTTACCCCGACCGGCCGTGCGGACTCCGTTACCTCTCTTCCCACCTCCCCTTCATCCCTCTGCTTCGCCTCCGCCCATGTCGAAAGACTCTCTTTCCCTGACGCTCTACAGTCGGTTCTTCAATCCGAAGGCCGTTCATCTGTTGCTTACCTGCAGCAACAGAACGATTGTTTCCGTTCGGAATATGAAGAACTCCGTCAGGACTGCGATTCCCATATCTCGTGGGCAAGCGATGCCCTAGGATGCCTTCCCGATGCCGTGAACCTCTGGATAGGGAATGATCTGTCTGAGACTTCTTTCCATAAAGACCATTATGAGAATCTCTACGCAGTGATTACTGGGGAGAAGCATTTTCTTCTGCTTCCTCCTACAGACGTCCACAGGATGTATATTAGAGAGTATCCGGCTGCTCAATATCACTATTCTCAGGTTTCAGTTTCATTTCACTATTCTCAAGCTTAGCTTTTGAGTGTATTTTGAAATGAATAATATTGATTGCTGTAATGATAAATGAAGTAATAGGAAAGTGAATTACTGTGTGATTAGGAGCAGATAACAGCAATATGATATGATCTTTGAACAAATGGTTTGAATTGTAGGAGAGCAGGGAGTTTTCGTTGGAACTCGAGGATCCAGTTAGGTATGTGCCCTGGAGCAGTGTGAATCCATATCCCTCACCTGATTTGAAGGAGAAAGAAATAGCAGAGTTTCCTCTGTATTTTAATGGTCCTAAGCCATTTGAAGTCACAGTAAAGGCTGGGGAGGTTCTTTATTTGTAAGCTTTTCATAGTTCTGCTCTTATCATTTCAAATTGGCTTCCCTTTCTTAATTTGCAATATGATTGTTTTTCTTAGTGATATGTTTTCTCTGGATTCTGGAAACTCCATAGTCATGTGTTTTGTACCTATCTGTAATGAAGATGGAACATCCATCCCTGGCTATATCAAAACATGTATTGCTCAAGAAATGGTTATGGTGAATATGATTAGGTGCCTTTAGTAATTACTTTGTGTATCCTTTAGTAGTTATTACTTCCTCTATCCCTTATTAAACTTTATTGTATGGTCAGTACATTTGACTTGCAATAAATTTAGGGGTTTCGACATCAATATTACTAAATAAAAGTCTAGGGCAAAAACAGAACTACTTTTTAAAACTATTCGAAAAAGTGACTAGCATGACTTTCATACCCCTATCCTCCCAGTTACAGTTACATTGACTGCCAGTGATCACCGCCGGTCACCGGTGACCCATCAGCCGTCGCACCCAGTGACTTGGCACTTGGCGTCCAGTGACCCACCGCCGATGGCAAGTGGCCTGCCACCCCCAGTGACTTGCCATGAACACTCCACCAACTCAATGACACAGGCCCCTACATGGCCATAACCTAGCTGCCACCCACCTTAGTGATTTGATGCCGACCACCACCGCCCTCACTCCACACACCCCTCCCCGCCATTGCCGCACTCCCTGCCCTACCCCCTGTCCCCAGCCAGCGCACCCTTCCCCAACCCCTCCCCATTCCCTGCCCCAACACCTCCCCCACCCCCAACCATAGCCACCTTACCACTGCTGTAGCCACAAAAATGAAACCCTAGCCGATACGATCCGAAATAATAGAAGTTCAGATAGGATGAATGAGGAAGAAGTATAATTCTCATTAAACAGAAATGATGATTACAGAGAGTATTTATAGAGGTTACAGTACAACTGAAACTAACTAACTAACTGAACATAACTAATACAATCCATATAGTATATCTAACATCCCCCCTCAAACTTAGTGTGACTTCGCTGGAGATGCAATGACACTAAGTTTGTTTCTCAAATTAATAAAGGATGAAGCAGACAGGGGTTTTGTGAGAACATCAGTTGATATTGAGCAGGAATGTGGAACACTTGTAGTTGTTTCAGTTGAACTTTCTCTCTTACAAAAAATAGATCAATCTCCATGTGTTTGATACGAGAGTGTAGAACAGGGTTGTGTGCCAGTTGGACTGTACTTTGATTGTCACAGTATATTCTTGGAGTGGTAAAAGGAACCTTGAGTTCACTGAGAAGAAACTGAACCCATAGAAGTTCAGCTGCAATATCAGCCATGCTTCTGTACTCAGCTTCTGCTGAGGATCTGGCAACACGCAATTGTTTCTTGGACCACCAAGAAATGATATTTGGACCAAGAAATGTGTAGGATTCTGATGTGGACTTTCTGTCAGTAGGATCAGAAGCCCAATCAGCATCACAAAAAGCTGAAATAGGTAGAGGCATAGTAGATAGAGGAATGGGTTGGATGAGAAGTACATGTGTAATGGTGCCAGAGAGATAACGCAATATATGCTTGACTGCTTTCCAGTGATCATGCAGAGGTGCAGCCATGAACTGACAGACTTTATTAACTGCATAGCTAATTTCAGGTCTTGTTAGAGTAGCATACTGAAGAGTACCTACTACAGATCTGTAGAAAGAAGGATCAGGCAGGGATTCACTCCCTTCATGAATGAGTTTGCAAGTACTGATCATAGGAGTCATGACTCCTTTGGAATCTAGCATTCCAACTTGATGCAATAAATCTCTGACATATTTGGTTTGAGAAAGGTGTAGGCTTCCATCTGGCAGTTTCTGGACTTGAATTCCTAAAAAGAAATCAATGTCTCCTAGATTTTTAAGAGAGAAAGATGAGTTCAGTTTGTTGATGAGAGTTTGTATGGCTGAAGGGTTATTGCCAATGACAAGAATGTCATCAACATAGATGAGGATGTAGATGAGGATACCAGAAGATGTAAAGAGAAGCAGAGAAGGATCACATTTGCTTTGCTTGAAACCAGCACTATAAAGAACTGAAGTCAGTTTGTAGAACCGGGATCTAGGTGCCTGTTTTAAGCCATATAGGGACTTGTGAAGCTTGCAAACCAAAGATGTATCTTTTACTTGAAATCCTGGAGGTTTAACCATGCACACTTCTTCACTTAGATCTCCATTAAGGAAAGCATTATTGACATCCAATTGTTGAATAGGCCAGTGATGAGATACATCAAGAGTAAGAAGTATTCTGATTGTGATAGGCTTTACTACAAGAGAAAAGGTTTCTCCAAAATCAAAACCAAATCTCTGATGGTAGCCCTTAGCAACTGACCTTGCCTTGAATTTATTCAAGGAACCATCTGCATTTTCTTTCACCCTGAAGACCCATTTGCATCCTATAGCCTATTTATCTGGAGGAAGAGGAACTAAAGACCAAGTGTTGTTAGAAATCAATGCATCATACTCCGTTTTCATTGCAGCAGACCATTGAGGAGAAGTGAGTGCCTGCTTGACTGATCTGGGCTCAACTTGAGCTAATAGTAAGGTTGAATTAAGTCGTGGTTTAACAATTCCAGATTTGGCTCTGGTTTGCATGGGGTGAGTGTTAGTTAGAGGAGCATTGGATTCAGAAGAAGAGGATAATGAGTGTGATGCAGATGAAGTAGACTGTGAAGGAGAAGGAGTGGGAACAGAATTAGGCTGAGATGAATTAAGGTGTAAGTGGGAGGGGGTAGAGACAGATTGAGAGGAATTATGTTGTGATTGAGAGGGAGAAGAACCTTGTTGAGAAGAATCTGTTTGGGATGAAGAAGGAGTGGAAGAATCAGATTGAGAAGAGGAATTGGAAGGGACAATGGTTATGGGAAAGGACTGTGAAGTAGTGGAGATACAAGGCTGATGAGGAATTGAAGTGAAAAGAATAGGATAAGGAAATTTGGACTCATTAAAAACCACATCTCTGGAGATATAGACTTTCCGAGAAGGTGAGAGACACTTGTAGCCTTTGTGTTGGGAAGAATAACCTATAAACACACACTCTTTAGAGTGAAAATCCATTTTGTGTTTATTGTAAGGTCTGATAAAAGGAAAACATGAACATCCAAAGACTCTGAGAAAAGAATAATCTGGAATAGAGCCAAATAGCTTAAAATATGGACTGGAATTTGCAATTGACTTTGAGGGAGTTCTATTTGAAAGGTGAACAGAGGTTGCAAATGAAGCATCCCAGAATTTGTGAGGTAAAGAAGAATGGGCTAGAAGAGACAGACCCTTCTCAACAATTGTTCTATGTTTTCTCTCAACAACACCATTTTGGTGATGAGTGTGAGGACAAATGATTCTATGTGTGATGCCTTTGTCAGTGAGGAATGTGGTAAAGGATCTAAACTCACCTCCCCAATCAGATTGAAGAGATTTAATGGAAACAGAAAATTGGTTGAGAACATATTGGTAAAAGTTTTGAAAGGCAGTAAGGGCATCAGACTTCTTTTTCAAAAAGTAAATCCAAGTATATCTTGTGTAAGCATCAATGAATGAAATATAGTAAGAGTATCCATCAAAAGATAACATGGGAGCTGGTCCCCAAAGATCAGTGAATATCAGTTCAAATGGTGAATGAAAGATGGTAGTAGAGGGAAAAGATGGAAGTCTATGTGCTTTACCAAGACAACAAGAAGAGCAGAAATCAATATTATTTTTATTAGTAGAAGTAACATTACAATGTTGCATTACAGATTTGAGAGCCTCAAATGAGGGTGGCCTAGCCTCAAATGCCACAAATTACAAGAAAGAGAATTATTACAAGACTGAACATGATTACATGACTTATTTTGAGACAAAGATTGACTGGAAACAAGAGTTGGAAGGGATTGAAACTTGTAGAGACCATCTGCACCTAGAATGCCATGTAGAAGGACCTTTTTAGAAGCCTGTGATTTAACAAAACACTCATGAGCATGAAACTCAAAGAAAACATTATTATCTCTTGCAAACTGAATAACACTAAGTAAGTTTTTGGTTATGGAAGGAACATGGAGAATGTTGTTAAGTAAGAGTGTATAAGAAGGATGAAAAGGAGAAGAAAAGGAAGAAAAACCAATCGACTTAATGTCCAAACCTTGATCATTGCCCATGAACAGCTTGTCAGTGGTAGCAAGTGGCCCACTATGTTGAATGTTGAGAGGATCAGGGGTGACATGGTGTGAAGCTCCAGAATCTGGAAACCAATTCTGAACATTAGGAGGTGGTCCTAGCAATGAAGTGTTTGCAGAAGCCCAAGCTGCAGTTGGAGTAGATTGATTTTGAGATGATGATGAAGAATGATAATTGGTAGGCCCCCAATTTGTATTCTGAGAGTGCTGATTGGGAATGTAGCTTGGTGTTGGTTGGGTAAACTGTGGATATGGATGAGGATGAGATGTAGAATAGTTATTATGAGGATGAGGTGTAGAATTTGGATATGGAAGTGTTTGTGGAGGATAAGAGCGATAAGGATGAGATGTAAGATGTGGTAAAGGGGGATTAGATACTGTGTAGGTAGGATTATGGTTTGGTAATGTAGGATTAGAGACTTTGTAGGCAGGATTATATCAGTGATAGCAAATAAGAGCACTGTGACCAACCTTGCTACAAATTTGACAAATGACAGAACTACGACCACCAGATCTGCCACCTCTTCCTTTGTTAAAGCCTCCGCGGCCTCTACCTCTGTAGGTAGTGTTTGTACCAAGATTGTCATATTGAGCAATTTGTGCAGATGGACTCTCAGAGGAGTTTTGAGAATCAGTATCAGTTTGTGCAGGTGTTTCTTCGAGTTGAGCAACATTGGCAGAGAATAAAGTCTGTTGCGAAGAGTCTCGAAGCTTTCTTATTCGCAGCTCTTTAGCTAGCTGGAGAGATTCAAGCTCAGATAAAGTAACAGGGTCTAGAATACTTCTAGAATACTTCTGGATGTGACAGAAGATACGATTGAATCGTATTCTTCTGGGAGACCTTCGAGGATCACGTTGATATGATCCTTGGTTGAAATAGGTTCACCAACGGAAGTAAGATTATCAATGATGGTCTGAATACGACGGAGATAATCAGAAATGGAGCGATCACCTTTTCAGGTGTTATACAGCTCGGATTTCAGCTGGCGAGCCTTCGCGACAATGTTTGACCGGAAGAAATGCTCGATTTCACTCCAGAGTTGATACGAGAAAGTGCAATTGATGACACGAGCATGAAACGATTCTGAATGAGATGCCAATAACCACGAAAACAACATTTGATCTTGCTGTTCCCAAACACATTAAGCTTCATTGACCGTCTTTGTCGTGCCATCACCACTGATGATAAATTGATCTGGAATTTGAGGATTTTCAATGAATTTTTGAAGTTTGTGAGCTCGAATCACAGATTTGACATGATGTTTCCAGAACAAAAAATTATTGGAATCAAGTTTGATTGGTAAGGGATGATGAAAGATTATGGGAGAATTTTGAGAGGTTGAATGAGAAGAAGTTGAATCAGATGTCGAGTTCATCATCCTTGAAACGAAGGAGCTCTGATACCATAATAGAAGTTCAGATAGGATGAATGAGGAAGAAGTATAATTCTCATTAAACAGAAATGATGATTACAATTACAGAGAGTATTTATAGAAGTTACAGTACAACTGAAACTAACTAACTAACTGAACATAACTAATACAATCCGTATAGTATATCTAACACGAAACCTTTGATCTAAAATCACAGCCCATACTGTCGCCTTCACCTGCCGGAGATCGCCATCCGTCCGACGTGCGCTCGCCAACTTCAATAGTGTCCGCCGTCTGGTCGTGATCGCCACCGCCGTGCGCCAACACCATTTATACGCACTGGTTGTGTCTGCCGTCTAGAGATTTCCATTCCGGCTCGTCATCGTCGTTGATTCGCCATCCCCAACTGTACGAGCAGCACACGGCCAACGGTGATGCAGCTGGTGGCGTCGACAGGGCAAAGATATAGTCGGTGGCGGCTGGCGCTATGCGAGAAAGACAGGGGTGAGAAGCCAACAGGTAGAGACAGCTAGGTTTATTTGGGTTTTCTATTCTTTTAGTCAAATCTAGTCCTCTATTTGTCCATTGTAAACTTATAGATAATATTTCTGTCATTATTTTATAAATTTAACTCTCCCCTAATAACGCATAAACTAGTGTTTGTAATAACAATTTACACACTTAGAAACTATACTAAAATCATTATTGAACCATTGAAACCGAATTTGAAAATGACAATATTTGGTACATAAAGTTAGAGGTTAAAGAGTTAAATTGATTGCATGAATAATAGACTGGTGAGTTTATTTAAGCAGAGGGAAGTAAATAGTACTCCTCATGCCAATTAGAGCGTAACATTTTTTTGCAACAACTTTATCTAATAAAACGAGACATAAATAGAGTATCATTTTAACAAAGGGAAGTAATTTTTCATTGACTTTTTGTAATTACAGACAAAAAAAGTCCAGATTCCAGAAACATATAAGTAGTATGTGTTAAAATAAAACATCGAGTAAACTAATTGACTATATGTAGGATTGATGATTATATGAATTGTACCTTTATGACTATGTGTCAAAATTTAGAATTTGCAACTTTATGAACCATGACTATAGTTTTGCATGCTCTAAAATGTGCAGGCCAAGTATGTGGTTTCATCATGTTAGACAAAGTCCAGACAGAAGAGGACTCACAATTGCAATAAACTACTGTAAAAGCTCTTAAATTATTCCTGAAAGAGAAAAAACACTCTTGTATTATATTCGTTTTTCCTTGGTGTGTACAGACAGGAGCTAATATTGATTTTTTCTGACAGGGTATGATATGCAGTTTGATGTCAAATATGCTTACTTCAACTTTCTGCATTCCTTAGCTTCTTCAAAACACAATTGTCAAATATCCTGTTGCAGAGTTTGCACAGAATCATGCTCGTGTACATCTGCAAGTATTTCAGAAGATGAATCCACAATCTCTGCTCGTGTCATGCATAAATCTTAACGAAATAGATGACAGGTAACAACTAACAAGTGAGAAATTGTAAATGTGGCTTCTGATCCTGTGGTCTGTCATCTATGAGAGGGCATGCAAGAAACTAGAACAGAGTTTTGCAAATTGTCTATTTGTCGAGGTAATGGTGAATTAGACTTCAATTTACTAGGCTTGAGCAAGGTAAAGTTTATCTTAGATTTACCCAAACTGCGAAAGACTTTTCTGACTAATCTTCAAAGTACCATGATGCCCAGGTTCTAGGATGAGGCTCGCGATTAATGCTAAAGTCATTTGTATTTTCACCACATCAGTGTAAGTTAAGTGGATAAGATTATTTGGTGTCCATAACAAAGGTTTTTAAAGATTATATTTTAAAGATTATAGATTCTATTGATTTTCATATCCTATTGGTGCAATACTTTATCAACATTATGTGTCCTCAGACAAACTTCGTGATCAACATATAAATGGAATATTCAAATAAAACCGTTAACCAAAATAGCCATGAACATGTTTAATAAAGCAGTTTTCGAATGATCTTAGGTTCATTAAAAACTGAAAGTTGCAAAATGAAAGTCTCAGCCTATTCTCTTCTATCGCGGGATCACTCCATTGGTTGAGCTATTATGTTTCTTCATCTACTTGCGCTTTATTATCTTTGTTATTCTTGAGTTTGGAGAGTGCCCACTTCATATTAAGTTTCTTCTAATAAAATTGGTTGAAAAGGACTTTCCTCATCAATTCAGTAGGAAAATCATTAAGTTGAAAAAAATGCAATCATTTACAACTCACAAGCTAATAGTCTAACACTAACGCTTTGTTTGCATTTTTAGTGGCAAGATTCTGGGGTTTGATTGATATTGTTAAGGGCGTAACGAGGACGTTGCGATCCTAAGTGGGGGTGATTGTAACACTTGAGATTTAATTTAAATGGATTAATAGTACTACTCATACCAACAAGATGCGTCTCCTTTTAAGGGAGCTCATCACCCAAGAACTTCAAAGTTAAGCGTGCTTGCACGGGAGTAGTCTTGGGATGGGTGACCCCCTGGGAAGTTTCTCGGGGCGCGCACGAGTGAGGACAAAGTGCGCAGAAAAGGCTAGTGACGGTTTGTGAGGACAGTACTAGAGGTCAGAAGTAACTACCTCGGGGCCTACGGAGCCGTGGTGTTACAGGTATGATCGGGTCAGGATGGGGTCGTGGTAGGGGCAGGTGGTAGGGGTAAAGGGGTAGGGTAAGGTATGGTCAGAAGGGGGTCGGGGTCGAGGTAGGGGCAAGTGGTAGGGGGTAAAAGGGTAGGGCTGAAGTAAGGGGTACAAGTGGGTGTAGGGTAGAGGTAAAAGGGGGTGGGGTTAGGGTGGGGTGGTAAGGTTTAAGGTAGGGGTAAAAAGGGGTGGGGTCAAGAACGGGTCGGGGTGGGTGGGTCGGGATAAGGTAGAGTTAGGGGTAGGGTGTGGGGTAGAGGGTAACAATAGAGTAAGGGCAAGGAGTAAGGGTAAGGGTAAATTCGGAAAGTGAAAAGTTTAAAGTGCCGCTTAATTAATACATGGAGGTGGTATGCTTAGTAAGCGACAATTTAAGCACATCTTTCGGTTAGTAAACGGTTTTTTAAGCAGTTTGCGTGTTTACTTCACTTGTCTTACTAACCTAACTGTGACTTTAGCAGCGAAATAAACGCCTCCTAAAAGTTCCATTTTTAATTTTTTGACTCCTAATCTTTAACCAGTACAAATGGTCTAAGGCCACTAGGGAGCCACCACTAGCCCGACCAGGAATTGACCTGTTAGCCCATGAAGGAAGCTTAAGCGGTCGTTTAATTTGCCATCGAGACCAATCTTTCAAGCATAACCAATGTGAAGAAATCAGTAAGGAGAATTTTCCTTCTTCTCTAGAGAGAAACCCTAGTGGCCGTCTCCCCTCTTCGTAGGGGTTGAGATTTTCCGTCTCCCCTATCAATATGGGGTTGGAGCGGCAGATTATACTGATTTTAAGTGTTCTAACGCTTGTGATTGCAACTACGTCGGAAGAGATAGCGTTGGCGGATGAACGAAGTGCAGCTGAGAGGTTGTATCGAGACTGGATCGTGAAACCTTGGTCACCCATTCCGGCGGTGGTTGAGTTGGTATTCATCCATATTGCGAGAGTTCGTCCTCCTCCGGAACCACCTCCATACCAGAGAATGCTTTGTGGAAAGATCTTATTCCAGTACTATTTTCTATTTACTTGCAATTGTTTTCGTTTCAGTCCGAGTAGATTTGGTTTGAATGTTTGGATTTTTGGAGTTCTTTTGATAGGCAGAGTTTCGGTTCCATTTTCGTTTTGGTTCTTTTGGAGCAAGAAAACTCACAAACTTATGGATAATCATCCAAACAAAAAAGTGGATATGCTTCATAAATTTATATCTAATTAATTATGGAGGGAGTTATGCTAGGAAGTAGCTTAGGCAAGCTGCTTAGGGCCCCCACCTCTAAAGGCCCCCTATTTTTTATAATCTTTTTATAAAAATAATAATTAAATAATTACATAAATAAATGAACAAATAAATAAATACTAATGACATAAATTTGTATTTAAACTAAGTGATTTATAATGCTAATTTTTTTATAGACATGTGAAAAGTTCTACCGATTAATTTATGTTCTTATATTATTAAATTTATTAAACTAGATGTGCTAATTTTTTTACAGATTTTATTTTTTATATTTTTTTTAAATAATACTATATCCGTCCCTTTTTATTCAGCCAAATTTAATTATGCAAGTCAATGATGTTAAACTTTGTTCGATTATATATTTATACACGGAAGTATTGATAATATGAAAATGATATGAAATTGTTCTTTATTAAAAATGCTATCATAAAAGTATAAATTTTTTAGGTTATGTGAAATTTATACATTTTATACTTTATGGAAGTAATTTTAACATTGAAACATTTGCTTTGAAAGTAAATTTTGTTTGGATTGATAGAGTATATAATACGTAGTAACATTTAAATATTTATAATCATTCGTGACATCGTTAAAATTATTTTTGTTTATTATTTTTATTTATAGAATATTTTCCGTGCTCTTTTGCCTACCTATCTACAGCCTCGAATTCTCTGAGGCCGCCCATGTTCATGAGTGCTCTAAAAGCATTGTCAGTGCTTCATGGAGACGGTTCCAATTCACACTCATATAGGTGATCTCATTAAGTGTGTCTGACACTTAACACACCACCCTTAAGGGCTGTGATAACCATTAAAAACTTTAGCTTAGCCTCACAAAGCAATGCAGTATAGCCCTCGACACCACATAAACGAGCATTTAAAAAAGACTTCCAGTACAAACAGCAAACTTGTTATTACTCATATGAAGCTGCTTAGTCGGATCTCCAATCACACAGGTTGTGTTGCCATCCCTATTTATTTCATATTTTTGTCCGTTAGTTATATTTCTCTAATACTTATGAAAAAACCTCTTATTTCAAAGTGACATAGTTCATTCCTCTTGGTGTTTAAAATAATTATTTAATATCCAAGGATTTCTGTGAAAAGAGGTAACTAACTTCACTCGTCAAAGTTATATGACAACTTTATATTTCATATATATGGTGTCATTGTATATGTCTATACAACAATATCCTTAAAAAATTATATTATCATTGTATCTCTTTTGTACAATGGTATAACTCACTAAATACACTTTTTGAATTTCATCTCAATCTTCCGACAATTATATTTGCCTGGTCTCACATAGGTTGTTAATTTTTAACGAACACGCATTTCTAATATTCATAATGAACATCAAAATTATTTTTATAAACTCAGCAATCAACAAACAATGACACATATGTTACTAGCATATATTATTAGTATAATATTTCTAAAAATACCGCACATATGCACAACATATATTGTACGTGAGAATATGATACGGATTATGTTACAATACAAAACAAACAGTAAAGGAAAAAAAGAGCAAAGGTAACAAAACATGTTCAAGTACTCGGCCTCCACATATTGAATACTTGTATATAAAACTAGCACCATACGCACTTCGTGCGAGGTGTGCCCAATACAGAAAAAATTAGTGACTAAAATGGATCATGTGGATATATTTATATGATTATGTAAATGTATTCTATATTGAATGTGTTGATATAAAAAGAAGTATGGTATTTGGTTCAAGGTTAATATGGGAGTTCTGAATTAGTAGGAGAAATAATAATTGTCTCAAGCTTGTAAAATGCAAATTTGGAATGATTTAACCAAACCATTTTTCTAAATGTGTATATGTATACATTTATTGCATGAAGTTTAGTAGTTTGTGAAGTTTGATCAAGGGATAATTCAAATTGTGATTTTTTTCATATTTCTATTGTCATACAATAATTTGTGTAGGCTTGGTACTGGACCGTGTAACGGGCCTAATCTCCTTAAGCCTGAAGCCCACCCAGTCCTAAAACCTGACCCAGTGCGTCCGAATCCATCCCTATGTGTAAGTAACATATAAGTATTAGATATTGTGGTATAAACATAGTCTACTTTTATAGGGTGGGGTTTTTATTTGATTTGTAATAATATGTGAATATGTGGAATGATATAAAGATAACTATGGCACTCCCAAGAAATGAATGATTTTGATTTGATATCTTAAGGGGTGTATGCAATATGGGTTCTAAAGAATCTAATGGAATTTAGAATTTTGTCAGAATTTAGGTGTTCCTGATTTGGATTTCTATTACTACCTCCGTAACTCTAGAATCTTCCCAGTTTGACTTTTTTTGGATCAAACTTTATAAACTTTGACCATTAATTATTCAAAACTCACATTATGTTATGATTAAAATTTTATTTCATATACCTCATTGTAAAACATATTATTTGAATGTTAATTTATTATGAATATTATAAATATAGATATGTAGATATTTAGAGTCAAAGTTCAACTTAGAAGACCGTGAAAAGTCAAAATGGGAAGATCTTTATGTTACGGAGGTAGTATTACTTATTTGGATGGATTTTAAATGATTTTGATAGAATTGTATATGCAAAACAAATCTATAGGAAATATTGTCATAACCCATCAAATTTGTAAGGATTTCAAAAGAAATAAACACAAAGGATAGTTGAACAATTCTATTTGTATGTACACGTTCTTATACACTTGTCTGACGGATCATTTTTTTTTTGTCTGAATCAGCGTGTTTTGTCTGTCACATACAAAAAAAATATCCACAGACAAAACACACAAGTTTGTCTGTGGATCTCGTTCACAGACAAAAATTGAACTACCGCAGACACGTGTATAAGAACGTGTATAAAAGAACGTGTACAAATTCCAAATATTTAGGTAAACAATAGCAGTGCTAAAAATTTAGTCTTCACTTTTTAAAACAAATACCAACACTACTAAAAATTGTCTGTGTTGCTAAATATTAA